GTTTGGCAATACACCACCTTGGGCGATAGTAACACCAGACAACAATTTGTTCAATTCTTCGTCATTACGGATGGCCAATTGCAAGTGACGGGGAATGATACGAGTCTTCTTGTTGTCACGAGCAGCATTACCAGCCAATTCCAAAACTTCAGCAGCCAAATATTCCATAACGGCGGCTAAATATACTGGAGCACCGGCACCAACACGTTCAGCATAGTTGCCTTTGCGCAACAAACGATGAATACGACCGACGGGGAATTGAAGACCAGCACGATTGGAACGGGACTTTGCCTTTCCCTTAACTTTGCCACCTTTACCACGACCAGACATTTTCACTTTATTTTATTTTTAAACACTTCACTTAGCACTGAAAAACACAGAATGATAAAAATTTCAACAACTACCCGTAGTATTTATACTTTTCTCGCACACACATTACTATACTTAGGGGTGTGTAGCTATGTATTATACATAGCAGCTGTGACTACCTGAAATTGTTGAACATTTTAATCTACAAATATGTAGTTGGCTGCCGGGGTATTTTTATTCTGTGAACAGTGTTAAAAGTGTTTGTGTGATTTAAAAAAAAAATAAGTGAAAATGCCTCCTAAAACCAGTGGTAAAGCAGCAAAGAAGGCCGGCAAAGCCCAAAAGAACATCACCAAGGGCGATAAATCGAAGAGACGTACCAAGCGTAAGGAGAGTTACGCTATCTACATTTACAAAGTGTTGAAGCAAGTCCATCCCGATACTGGTATTTCCTCAAAGGCCATGAGCATCATGAACAGTTTTGTGAATGATATCTTCGAACGTATTGCCGCCGAAGCCTCCCGTTTGGCTCACTACAACAAGCGTTCGACCATCACCAGTCGGGAAATCCAAACTGCCGTTCGTCTATTGTTGCCCGGTGAATTGGCTAAGCACGCTGTCAGTGAAGGTACCAAGGCTGTTACTAAATATACCAGCTCCAAGTAAATGCCTTGATTTTTTTCATTTATTCGTCGAAATTCAACCAAAGGCCCTTTTCAGGGCCACAAAAAATATTTTAAAAGAGATCAAATTTTTGTTGAAACCATATTTATGCATTTTTAGTTAATAAAGAAAATTTTTAAATAAATAAAATTAAAAAAAATATTTTAAACCATATTTTTAATTTTTTTTTCAGAATATTATTTTTCATAAATAAAATATATTTATCAAACCAAAATTATTTTCTTTCGTCTTTTTTCATAACATATAATTTTTTTTCAATAAATACCAAAATTCTACAAAAAATTTAAAATTCCATATTTTCACTGAAAATAATATATTTCCATTCATTTGTACTAACTCACATTGCCTTATGCCAACGCCGTTGCTTGCTTTGTTAGTCGTTGCTTGTTTACTTGTGCTATATGGGTATAACAACATATCGCACAAGCAGTCGTATGTGTGTATGTATTGGTGCGATTTTAGTTCGTTGTGCTATAGTAGACATCAGTGCCATACGAACGAATATGTGAATGGACAACATGTATGTACAAGCATTTTTTCTTCAGTACAGCAAAGGCAAATGGCAAATATGAAGTTGAGAGATTTTTGGCGGGAAAAAAATTAGTGGTGGAATTCTTTCCAAGGAAAAATATTTTTAAAATGGTGATTATAAATTTTTGATGAAAATTTAATAAAATTCAAAAATTTTAGAAAATATTAAAATATTTAGTTTTTGTAACGTTAAAGGGGCGATTTACAAATTTTGAAGAAAATTTACGAAATTCAAAAATTAAGCAGAAAATATTAAAATATTTTTACCATTAGGTAATTGCAAATTATAAAAGTTTATGACCTGGATTAAAAAAAAAAAATAATCCATTTGTGGCGTCATTTTGTGGAATGTCCATAAATAAACAGGCACACTTTTACCTAATACTCTAATTAGCAAAATCTATTTTTTCTCCTAAAATTAAAACACATGTGGATTTTCTCATTTATTTAGGTAGTAAAATAATAAAATAATTAGTAAATAGTATGAAATAAATATTTTGTCTCTTTTAAAATTTAATTTGTAGCCCTGAAAAGGGCTGTTAGATATTATGTTTTCGAATATCGAAAAAATTCTTGACAAAGTAATTTTTGTGGAAAAAATTACTTCTTGGCGGCGGCTTTCTTGGCAGCTGGCTTCTTTGGTGCTGCGGCTTTTTTGGGCTTAGCAGCGGCTGTTTTTGCCTTGGGTGCCTTTGGTTTGGTGGCAGATGCTTTAGCGGCGGTCTTTGCGGGTTTTGCCTTAACTGTACCGGTTTTCTTGGCAGCCTTGGCCTTTGTTTTGTCAGCCTTCTTCTTTTCAGCGGTCTTTTTGGCGGCAGATGGTTTTTTGGCAGCTGTCTTCTTTTCGCCAGCAGCCTTTTTAGGGGCGACCTTCTTTTTCTTTTCACCAGCGGCGGGAGCCTTCTTTTTCTTTTCAGCAGTCTTTGCTTTGGGTTCCTTGGAAGCCGAAGCGGACAATTTGAATGAACCGGAAGCACCCTTACCTTTAGTTTGGATCAATTTTCCACTGGCAACAGCACTCTTCAAGTACTTCTTGATGAAGGGGGCCAATTTTTGGGCATCTACTTTGTAGGTGCTGGCCAAGTATTTTTTGATGGCTGGCAATGAAGAACCTCCACGTTCCTTCAATGTTTTGATGGCAGCATCTACCATTTGTTGGGTTGGTGGATGAGTTGGAGCAGCTGATGGTTTTTTTGCTTTGGCAGCGGCCTTCTTTGGTGCCTTTTTCTCAACGGCGGCAACTGGGGAGGCGGTGGTTTCAGCAACGGCGGCGTCAGACATGTTTATATTTCACTGTTTTTATATTTCACTGTTAACACAAATACACTCACAAATTTATGTGTACTACTATTTTGTTATTGGTCGAGCCGTATAACATAGGTACATCGAAAAGATGAGAAGTGCATAGTAGTCAATTGGTATATTTTTCGAATTATTGTGTGGAAGCGTGTTTAATTTTTTACAAAAGTTTTCACAGAAATTTAATTTTTCCCAGGAAGCTTTAAAAATTGCTGAAAAAGATATTTTACATTTTGAAAGTATAGATTTCAGGCTTCATTTTAAAAGATATTTCATGTTATTATCATTACCGGTTAGCGAGTTATAGACGTTTAACTTCAAAGATTATGAATTTGAAATCACAAATTTCTAACTAAATTTGAAAAAAATCCAAAAAATTTTGAAAATTTTCATAAAATTTCTTTTTGATAATATAGCCTGATATGTTTTCTTTAGGATAAATTAAAAATATTTAGAAATTTTGCATTTTCTATGTGAGAAAAAATTAAATTTATTATGTGGTCTATGACAGCAGAAATCCTCTTGTTGGCATATTTTCAATGAAGAAAACTTTTTCTACAAATAAATTTGAAAGCTCAAATCTTATTAACTTTTATAAAAATTTCTTAAAAAACATTTCAGGATTTGTATATTTACACCAAAATAAAACATTATTCATAAAAAGTCATTAATTGTTTGGTTTCTATTAATTTTTAGTCAAAATATAAAATTTTAATAATTATTTTACTAAAAAATACTAATTTATAATTTTCTTTAAAAAAATTGGTTTTTGAATAGAGAAATTCTGCCTTTAGAAATCAAAAAATATTTCCCATCAAATTTTTCATAGACAGAGACAAATATAAAATTAGATAGAATTTTTTTTACATGGTAGAAAATTAGCTGGAAAAGAAAAAACATGCACATTTCATTCTTCATTCATGGGGATGTTTGCTGTAAAAAAAAAAAATATTGAGGGGAAATTTTTTTCGCGCCAAAAATAACATATTGCATTAAAAAAGGTGAATAGAAAACAATTAAACAAACAATGTGAAAAAAATTCATCATGTGACAATACAAACGAAAAATTTTAAATAGAAACAAAGAAAAAAAAATAAAATAATTTAAATAATAAATCTGAATAATTAAAATTTTAACCAGAATTAAAAAAAATTATTTCTAACGAAATAAAAATTAAAATGAAAAAAAAAATTAAATAGAAAATCATTTTACGAAAATGTTGAGAAAATGTATGAAAAATTATTTTTAATGAAAAGAAAAGCGAAAAAAATTTATAATTTCAAATAAAAAAAAATAAATGTTTGGAAACTTTACTCAAAATAAAAAAAAAAATTAAAAAAATCCTGTATTCCTATCAGCCTCAAAATAAATTAAAACAACGTAAAAATATTTTTATTTAATAAAAATTGTAATAATAATAAATAATTTTTTAAAAATTGAATCTCTTTTTTGATATATTTTGTGGTCCTGAAAAGGACCGATTGTATTCCTATCAGCCTCAAAATAAATTAAAACAACGTAAAAATATTTTTATTTAATAAAAATTGTAATAATAATAAATAATTTGTTAAAAATTGAATCTCTTTTTTGATATATTTTGTGGTCCTGAAAAGGACCGATTGTTTTGTTGTAAAAAAATGAGTTTTTAAAACGTCAAGAATTTAAGCACGTTCTCCACGAATACGTCTGGCCAATTGGATATCTTTAGGCATGATGGTGACACGCTTAGCATGGATGGCGCACAAGTTAGTATCTTCGAAAAGACCGACCAAGTAGGCTTCACTGGCTTCTTGCAAGGCCTTCTGGTAACGACGGATTTCACGCAAAGCGACTGTACCGGGACGGAAACGATGAGGCTTCTTAACACCGCCGGTGGCTGGTGCGCTCTTACGAGCGGCTTTAGTGGCCAATTGCTTACGAGGAGCCTTGCCACCAGTCGATTTACGGGCAGTTTGCTTAGTACGAGCCATTTTTCACTTTAATTTTTTCACTTCACTAGGTATGCACACAAACACTGTTAACACTGTAATAACTCGGAAACCGCGCCAGAAACGAGTATTTATAGAAAAATTGTGTGTTAGCATCAACGATTAAGGGTGAGTGTTCGTAAATACAAATATATGTCTACTAAATGGGCGCACACACGCACACATATACACAAACGACTATGGCACAAAAAGTGAAAAATGACTGGTCGCGGTAAAGGTGGAAAAGGCTTGGGAAAAGGTGGCGCTAAACGTCATCGCAAAGTGTTACGTGATAATATCCAGGGCATTACCAAGCCAGCTATTAGACGTTTGGCTCGTCGTGGTGGTGTAAAACGTATTTCTGGATTGATTTACGAAGAAACTCGTGGTGTTCTGAAAGTGTTTTTGGAAAACGTTATTCGTGATGCTGTCACCTACACCGAACACGCTAAGCGTAAAACCGTCACTGCTATGGATGTCGTTATTTTAAATATTTTTAATTTTAATTTTCTTTAAATAAATTTTAATTTTCTGCCTTTGGTTACTCATATAATGTGTGTATACCATAACTACACATACCCTATACATGTATTAGTACATACGTACGTTAAAGAACAACAAGCAATGCCATTATTCACATTTCAAAAATAAAAAAAAATCAATACGTTCTCATTTCATTTCTAAAATTATTTTTAATAAATTCTACAATTTTTTTTATTTATTTTTGAAAATATTCGTAAAAAATTTGTTTAATTTTTTTTTTATAAATCGAAAAATTTTTATTTTTTATTTTATTTATTTTTTTTTTATTCAATTAAATAAAATTGACTTCATCATTTTCATTACAATCTTATTTAATTTCGCTAAATTTCTATCAAAAAACAAAAAAATTCTTCCTTCGAACATATTTCCATATAAAAATGCCGCCGTCAACTCGCATTTCTAAATGCCGTTGCTTGTTTGTTCATATGCTTGCTTATATTATGTATGTATACCATAGCGTCACTTTATCTATGCATGTGGTAGTATTTTGTTAGTCCATGATACTAAACAACGAACCAACGAACGATCCAACAACGATGTGAGTACGATGTTCATAGTGAGTGAAACATTACAAAAATAATAATTTCAATTAAAAAAAATAAATAAATTTAAAAAAAATAAAATTAAATTAAAAAATTAAAATTAAATTAGAAAATTAAAATTAAATTAAAAAATTGAAATTAAATTAAAAAATTAAAATTTAAATTAAATTAAAAAATTGAAATTAAATTAAAAAATTAAAATTTAAATTAAAAAATTGAAATTAAATTAAAAAATTAAAATTAAATTAAAAAAAAATTAAAAAATTAAAAAAATTAATAAATTTCATTTTTATTTAATATTTTTGATTTTAATATTTTCTAATTTTATTGAAATATTCCTATTAAATTCATTTTTCAATTCCATTTTTTCTTCAAACTTCTACCAATTTCATTTTTATTTTCGTAATAATTTTTTCTAAACAAATTTAAATTTATTTTTCAAAAAAAAATGTTTTCATTTTTCTTCTAAAATGTAAATTATTATTCAAAATTATTTAATTTGTAATTTATTTCATTTTATTTTTCAAAAAAAAAAAATAATAAAATCGCTTTTCATCTTCTAAAAATTTTCATTAAATGTCCCTATAAATTTCATATTTTTTCATTTTAATTTATTATTTTTAATTTTAATATTTTATTTTAACTTCTCTAATTTTATTAAAATATTTCTATTTAATTTATTTTTCAATTTCATTTTTTTCTTCAAACTCCTAAAAATTTTCATTTTATTTTCGTCATCCCTTCATTTTATTTCAACTACAAAGGCCTGCAACGCAAAAAAAAACTCTTTCAATTCTCCTCTTTTTTGCCTTCCCAAAATAAAAAGCGTGAGGCGGAATGATACGAGTCTTCTTGTTGTCACGAGCAGCATTACCAGCCAATTCCAAAACTTCAGCAGCCAAATATTCCATAACGGCGGCTAAATATACTGGAGCACCGGCACCAACACGTTCAGCATAGTTGCCTTTACGCAACAAACGATGAATACGACCGACGGGGAATTGAAGACCAGCACGATTGGAACGGGACTTTGCCTTTCCCTTAACTTTGCCACCTTTACCACGACCAGACATTTTCACTTTATTTTATTTTTAAACACTTCACTTAGCACTGAAAAACACAGAATGATAAAAATTGCCTTGACACCCCGTAGTATTTATACTTTTCTCGCACACACATT